TTTTTTTTTTTTTTTTTTTTCTCTTGGATGTGGGTTCGAAGACTTCTTCAGGTCCAAACTGTACAAGCTGATGCAGCAAGAAGGCAGCTCTATGGACTTCTGGTTGCAGCAGCAATTTGTTGCATTCAAATGATCAGCGAAAGGTCTCTACTCCCCGATGCGCCGTCATGTTGCTGAGAATGTCAAATCTCGATTGAAAGAGGACTGGCCATTGACCAGTTTTGACACGCAACATGTGGAGCATCAGACACGGCCGAGGGATACTCTCCATGACAGGAGAGCGACAAGGTGGCAGCAGAGGGGCTGGAAATGCAGCACAAATGCACAAACATTCGGTCAACGGCTTAGCGTTTCTTCTTTCATGGCACGTGAAGTCTAAGTGAAAGACAGACTCTGCCAACATCAGCTACTTCCACCAAGGAAACATCTTGGCCAGATGATGAATGCCAGGACTGTCTTGATTGTTTCCTCGCGGCTTCAACACACGCAGCAGCTGCAGACAGGAGAGACCTTGCATCTTTGCGACGTGCCATTGTTGGTAGGAACATTGACCCGGCCTGGCCCTGAGTTTGTAATTGAATGTGGCAGGTCATGTCGTGACAAGAAACTAGACAGCACTCAGGATGAGCAGCTGAAGTCCGGCTTGCTGCTGATGGGTTGATGTGCACAGAGGAATTCGGAAATGAACTTAAGCAATTAATTCGTTTGATCTAAGTAGGGTTTTCAAGGGAAGCGAAATCTGAGTCCCTATCCTCTTCACTGCTGGCAGCTGGTGTCCGGTGACAGGATCGGGGCATGTCATGGCGAAAGGGCTTTTTTTCGGTTTTTATGGCTGACACCCAAGCCACGTGTGATACGCAGTTGCTGCACATATGGCCTCGACAAGAGGCATCAGCCAAAGGCTGGTTGCTTTGAAGTGAGAACAGGGAAGGCAGAAGGCACTTGATAAAAATGATCGTAAGCTTACAGATTTTCATAGCGCTGCCCTGCTAGGCTGAGTTCCCTCAAAGGGAATTCCAGCTGTGTACGCATTGTAAGTGCAGCAAGTACAATGTGAAGCGCTTGGGCTACTGGCTGCTCTCAGGATCTTCCAGAGCCCACGGGGTTCACATCGCCTGGCACTATGCGACGCAACGGCAAAAGCAAAGTCGTGTAGTTTGTGTGGTGCGTATCTCAGGTGGCGCAGCTTGGGCAGCTTCATGAAGCATGCTTTGATGTCCTTGTCAGTGCAGCCTCGCGGCTCATATGACAGGTATCGCACGGCATATACTCACATGAAGCAGGCTTAGCCTCAGAAGTTTCGAAAAGTTTGGGCCCAGCAAAAACACGCGATGGGAGTCCACACTCAGATGCTGGACCTAATCAGATGACGCAAGGCCTGCTCCCGCACCATGTAAGCTCATGTGCTGAATTAAAAAGACTTGATGCCCCTGCCTCTACTCCTCTACTGTTGGGAATGATTGCAAGAGGAGTGTAAATGGTTCTGCAGCCAGGTCATATCTGATTGTCTACACGAGGGCATGGGGCACAGGCACCTGCCTTTGGCAACTTTCACCAGGCGTGAAGCTTGGAAACGGATTAAGATCTGTCCAGCTTCAGAGTCTGCATTTGCCAGGGTGACCACCAATGAGGCACCGTGCAAGCAAGCTGGCAAAAGCTGTGAGATTGCAATCCTGACACGGCAAGAGATTCAAATACTGTAGATCCCCCCGGTCTGGCAGCTCTGCGAAATCGAATATGACTTTGACAACGAATCTGCGGTCATGACTTTCATCCAGGCCCAGCAAAGGCTACCAGAGTGCTACCTTGCAGGGACGGGATGGGGCTGCTCCCTTGCCAGGACATAGCGAATCCTGTGGATCCACGTGGCAAATGCTTTGTTGCAGAGCTGGAGGCAGGATACAGTACCAAAGCAGCATGTCACTGGCAACCCATTGTTCTATTCCTTCTTTGCGCTGCTGGTGCTGGTCCCACTGGTTCTGCTGGTGGTGGTGGTGGCGGCGGCGGTGGTGGTGGTGGTGACGGTGGTGTTTGTTCCTGCGGTGGTGCATGTGCTGCTGCTTGCCCAGCTTGAAGACCGTTCGGGTGTAAGAAAGCGTCATTTGCTTGATGAAGGTCCCTTGGGTAGAGATGAGCTTCTATGCTAAACAGCAGCTGCGTCTTGGCATTCATTGGTGCTGCCCATGCAGAATGAAGTGGGATTGCCATTGCCATGCTAAGCAGTATGGCTACTGCCGTGAACTGCAAGTTGCCGTTTCCATGAAGGTGCCGGCATTGTTCTGTGGACATTTGGAATTCAGAAATTTTCATCTCAGTCGGACTTGGTCCGTGGAGAGTTGTAGGCTGGTGGCCTGCCAAGGCAGAAGAAACCTCCCTTGGAGGAGTGTGGCGTCGTCATCGATTGTGGGGGTGTGGAAAGATTCTTCATTCCGACAATCAGGAGATGACGTGCATTGCTTCATCTTGAGATTTCACAAAGTAGGTCTGGACTGCCCAGGACGAGGACGGCAGGCAATGGAAGTGTCGCAGCTCCTGAACTGAAGTTGGCGGTGTAAGAGTTGTGCTCCCCGACAGCAACCGCGCCATTCCACATGAGGTGAAGTGCATTGACATTGCTTCGCCGATGAGCCACGACGAGGCCTCGCTTGCAACGATCAGTGGTCACACTTGTGCTGATCGGCTATCCCACTGAGCCCTTGCCGATTCCAAGGGCGAGGCCTACGAACGAGTCGGCATCCGCCTACCCACTGGTGCTTTCACTTACGTGCCTTTGGTGCACATGCAGACGGCCTTGATGCCATAGTGGAATGACTTGTTCCACGTGCAGCGAAGGCTTTCTTTGAGTCGCAGTACCTTGCACGGGCAGAGGCCTGGGCACAACTTTACCTTGACTGTGACTGCTGAGGGTTTGTCATTCTTGCGGAGCAGTTGCAGGATCCGCGCCGCGGCGCTCTCTTCCTGATTGACCCCAACATGATCCTGTGGCTTGATTCATACTGGAACCAGGGGGTTGAATCAGGATACACTTGGCTGACTGATTTCCTACCCGGCGGTAACTTGGTGTGGCTTGCCGAGGTGTCAGAATGCACCTTGGCCTTCACAATTCAGCTCGCATGCAGCCGTCCATAATGACCGCTGGCTCCCAACCTAGGCAATGACGGAGGCGCAGAAGCAGGCCCGTTGCTCTTGTGACCCGGCACACGGAGCTTTGATCATCGAATCACTATCGAATCTTACCCAAATGCTGCTGAATGCCGCTGCTTCGTTCGGGCAGGAGTTCCAGACGTACGGTGGCAAGAAAGTTCTTTACTTCGATGTTCTGGATGATCCTAACATCAAGGCATCAATTTGCTGCATACCTTTAAGAATTCTGGGGGCCTTAACAGGTCGCAGAATATCCCCTTGCTGTAGGAGAGAAGAGCAGAGATCCAGCGATGTCGCGAGAAGGGCGACGAACAGCGCAGAAGATACGAGGAGGCTTGCGCGCTTGTTGGGATTGACGTGCGCATGTGCGGACTTGCTGACACTGGTGCCAGGCTGATAGGAAATGGGAGGAAGAGCGAGAGCAAAGAATCTTGCAGGTGGGAGCACGCATGCCCGCAATCCATGGGTTCCTTGCTTTGCAGGGCATGAAGGGAGAAGAAGTACAGACCAACTTTGCCGTGTTAGAATTTGCGTGCGAGCCTATGCAAAAAAGACCAGGCGCAGCTGGATGCCGCAAAGCCGAAGCTCAGCAAAAAGGCCTCAAGACCCGCAAGGGTCTCCTGAATGCTGCTGAGATGAACGCTCTTGATTCGAAGGATGGGGATCCAGTGGCTAGCCACAGAGCCCAAGGATGCAAACTCCAGGAGTTGTATAGAACAAGTGGCAGCAGGAACATGCAAGAACCGCTTCTGATTTTGGCGTGCCTGGGTGGGTGGACTTCGTCGTTTGTTCCCGTAAGCTGCGTCGTCTCAGTCGCTGTCCTGGAATGCTGGTGAGTGCAGTTGCCGCATCAACTTCAGCGACTTGTTCAGATTGTAAATGAGCGTGTGGGACAAGCCGAAGATTTGAGGAAACGGGCTGAGAGGTCCGAAAACAGGTTCAGAAATAGTTTGGGAACAGTCTTGATTCTGCCTATGCCTGCCTCGCGGTTGACACCAACCCACTTCTCCGGAGTGAAGAAGGAGGAGCAGAAACAGCATTCCAGAACAGAGCCACAAGACTTCTGTTTATATTTGAGTTCGCATGGCTTGCGCAGCCTGCAGGCGAAGCAAAAGGCGCGACAAGCCTTGAAGAAAGGCACGAAGTCCGGGCAGCCGGAGGAGCAGAAGGACCCACGTTCATGTAAGCAGAGCTGGTGACGGCAAATAACTGTAAACGTTTGACTTCAGCACCCTACATGGTTTCCTTTATCCATAGAACTGTGAACTGTTTCGAATCTACTGTTTCCATCAACAGGTTGCAGGTTATTTCAATGAATGCTCTTGAGCATCGCATGGCGCACCGGGAGGAAGGTGCAGATCGAGCGGAGGACGAACTCAATCCCGACGAAGAGTCGGAGCAGGAGATTGCATGGTGTGCTTGCTGATGGCCACTTGCTACTTTGTTCAGAGCATTCTTCTTCTCTCCTCCGCAAGGAGCGTCTTCACACACAGCGCCAAGCAGAACGACGGGCAAAGCTATTAGAGGCGAGTTTGGGCCAGGGATGTTGAACAATTTCATCCTTTGGATGCTCCCAGGACCTGAAGCAGGAGAAAGAGCAGGACTCGCAGCGGAAGAAGCTGGAGATGGCCGAGGTAGTTGAATGCTTGTCCATGGAAGCTGGCACCAACCTGGCTGTCAGGCCAAACGTCAAGCTCAAGAAGAAGCGAATCGCATCGCAACTATGAAGACCCTTCTGCAGAAGGCATGTAGATGCGTGGGGGCATGTGCACCAGGGTGTAGCCAGCTTTGGTGAGAGTGGATCATGGTCGGATGGGCGATTGCAAAGATCTGAAACACTGGGACAGGTGCAATCCTCCCTGCCAAGCTCTGCGCGGAACCCAGCACACATTGGCTCTGCCCTCGACTCCTTGAACCCTTGATCAGGGCTATGCCGGGAAAGCCAGCTGAGCTGGCTAATCGGCTGGCGAACTTCGGGCTTTTGTGGAAGACCCGCAGCCTGTAGTTGAGCAGTGTGTGTGTGTGGCCAGCACCAAAGTTTGCTGGCCACAGAGGTGCTGATACCAGTGCCTGTGTTTACCAGTTCAGCACCTCTGCGTTTCAGTACTTGTGCTGCTAGATTTGATTTTACAGCGCTTTAACACAGCGCACATAGTGCTAGCTTTCGAAAACATGTGGCCGTCGCTGAGATCGGTCATGTGAGCATCATGTAGACCTTTATCATTTCTGTCTGCGGCAGAGGGTTGTAATGCGTTCCGGCGGCATGGCCGCGATTGGTGTTATATCTGCTGCCAATCTGGCTGGCAGCGCTCTCGGCAGAGGCTCGGCTCAGTGGCAAGACCTGCTGGGCGCTGGGGACTCGCAACATCCGTCTCTATACATCTCTTTCATTGCAAGGGGTTGTGTCCCTGCCCAGAGCCACTGCGTCGGTTGACTGAGGAGCCGTCATGGGAAACGCCGGAGCATGCTGCTCATCTGGAGGTTGCCACAGCAGAGGGAGATATACTGGAATGCTTTAGGTCCTTGAGGTTAACTTGACCATAGGACTGACTAATTTGTTGCCGGTATAGTCACGGGCGCTGCTGAGCTGAATCCAGATTCGAGATGCTGTGGTACCGGCGCAGCAAACGATCCTGCGCTTGACTTACTGCGGCGCTTGCAGCTCTGACCATGTCAGATCCCTGCAGTTGAAGATGTTGACGTACCGATTCACCGCTGAGCGTTCATCCTGCCTGAACAGTCCAAGGCTCATGGACCTGTCGATCCTTTACGGGACGAGGCTTGCGGCTGCCTCTTCCTAAGCATTTCTTCAACAACCACTTCGCCAGGTGAAGGGCATCGATCCGGCACCCCCTCCTGGGGTCAAAGAGGCCCGCCAGATATCTCTGCCTCTGTATTGATTGAGCTCTGATCCTGCCTCTTGCGGTTGCATCGAAGTTGACAAGTCCTGTGGGAGTCGCACTGCGCGTTTCTGCTTGCAGCTGTTCTGCCTGATGTGGTGCTTGCAGGACCTTAAGACAGAGTCTTCAGAAGCAGGCCGTCAGCAGTTGTCCTATGACGGTGTGTGCGGGGACTTGGAGAGTCACGCAAGCATTTCACCAGGGTTAAGCTTCTTTTTGCATCATGTTTTGCCTGCACCTGGAAGATCCTGAGAGGCAATGGCTCGCTCGCGGCAATGGCCACAGAGGCGTGTGATCAGTGATGAACATTGCCTGAGTGTTCTGCGCAGAATGCATCTGGAACGAAGAAGGACTCAAAGAAAGATGATAGCGGGGCAGACGAGGACAAGGGAAAGCTGAAGGATGCAGTATAGGACAGTCAAGTCCGGTGTGCGCAGGAGCGACAATTCGTGACATATCAGGCTGGTGGCCGGTTGTGCCGTCAATTGTTGAAATGTTCACTCTGGCATTCTCGTGATGGCATTGCGCGAAGATAGAGTTTCTACAGCATGTGCTGACACTTCTCAGAGCATTCGTAACTAGAACCTGGGACATGCAAAATGTGCAACTTGGTTTGCAGTAAGAGATTGAAAGAAGGCCAGGGGATTCGGCCTATCGCCTGTTCGCTGCAGGATGGCTCCACCTATACAGGAATGATCAAAAGTGGAAAACGCCATGGTCTGTAACTCAGCGACTCCGCTTGCTGAGCGCCTCAAAGTTGCAAAGCAAAGTTGTGACGCGATCGGCAGGTCATGGCGTGTGGCAGTCGAAGAGCTGCCAATACGAAGGCCAGTGGAAGGCGTGGTGCGATTCTGCGTGGGAGCTGGATCCTTTCGAAGCGCTCTTCCGACGCCACGTATATTATACCATATTATACCATACTATACTATATTCTACCAAAATATACTATAGTAGTTTCCATTTTCTTTTACATTATCCCTATCTAACCCCCAGGAGGACCAGCAGGATGGCCATGGCCGACAGACGTGGAGCGATGGACGCGTCTATGAGGGTCAGAGCCACAGTCACTGTCGTTGGAAGGACTTCTGGTGCTCCCCTGGCTCCAGGACAGTTCCACAAGGGGCGCTTCTCTGGAACTGGAAAGATGGCAAGCCCCAGTTTCACTGCTTTTATTTCACTCGGTGTGACATTGCCCCTGGGCACACGAGCATGTGGAATGCTGCTGCAGGTGTGGCACACACAGAAGGGCATGCTAGTCTACGAGGGTCAGTATAAGGACAGAGCGGTGTGGGTGATCACGCTTCAGTGCCTGCAAGGCATTTTCCAGTGCAAGTTATTTGAGCAACTTACAGCAAGCTCACCTTTTTTTTCAGTGGCTAGTGGGATTATATATATATATTATATCATATATCCCAAAAATTGATCAACTGAGGGTTGTGTCCTACATGATTTATCCTGAAATCATGCAGGATGACCTCAAGGATGGACATGGTATGTTCATTTGGCCAGATGGCTGTAGCCTGAGCAGTTCCCAATGCCTTGGATTTCAGCAAGCCACTTGGAGACCGTTATTTCAGGCCGAACATACGATGGAGAATGGAGAGAGGGCAAGCGTCATGGTGCGAAGCTTGCATTTTCATGTCTGGGCTTCCTGGTGCTAGCGCTCGCATGTTGGTTTCAGCATGAATTTCAACCCAAGGCCGGGGCACCTACATCACTGCAAAGGCAGAGAGGAAGGTCTGTATCTCACTTCACGCGCGACTTTTGCAGATAATGTTGAAGCAAGCGGCATGTTTTTGATTGGCAACATTCTGCTTCATCGAACGGGCATGGTGATGCTTGATTTATTCGGCGATCAGGTGGGGTACTGGGTGGAAGACAAGTTCGATCGCTGGGAGAAGGACGCTGCTGGTTTGTTCGGCAAAAGGGCTGTGCTTCCACTGTCAGGGTTCCATATGCCCGAGTAGGTCAAGAAAATTCGCATTGAAATCGTGTTGTTGCAAGGAGCTGGTAATTGACCTTATCTATAGGCGTTGCTGCTCCTGAATGTTTAAGAGAAGCCGTGAAAGGGAGCCACCCACAGAAGCCAAAATTCAGGCAATTCTTCGAGTTCCGAGCGAAAACTGAAAAAAAGGGGGCAATGAACTCGATCTGCAAATTATGTTTGCAACCACTACTTCTGCGCAGTGTTATCTCCGTTGCTATCATACTATCCATTTACCATCTAGAATCAAGGGGCTGGACAAAGAAACCCAATGTAGGAAGCCATGTCGCCAGGATGAGACATCTGCTTCGTGAGAGGCATTACGGCATGGGTTTTGCTTTCTTACTTGATGTCCCTCACTCCCAATGTATAATCCCAATATGCTATAGTAGTAGTTTTCATTTTATTTTCCAGAATCCCAATATGACCTCTATAGTATTCATATAACATTATATAGTAGTTTCCATTTTCTTCTCCATTAGCCCTATATAACCCCCAGATTATACCCAAAGCTCAGCCATGCAAACGTTTTTCTGCGGCAAGGCCTTGGAGGATGAAGCCAAGCTCCGTCTTCGCATGTTTTGCGACCCAAGGCCGCTGACGGCAAGTCTCTTTCTCTGCTCACGAAGCTTATGCTCTTGTAAGCCTGGTGCATTGAAGGGTAACATTCACCCCTATGTAGCGATGGAACGTAAAGATTAAGCTGCTGAAGCTCGATATGTCTTCGTAGCCAGTGAAGCAGTAATTCACAGTCGCTGCAAGGGCCCATGCAGGTGAAAACCCGCAACTGTCTGCTGCGCCCGTCAGTATGATAGTGTTTCAGTGTGATGTTTGGGGTCTTCGCCTGGGCCTTCAGCTTTTAATGGCCATGTGTACGACTCTTGACTCGTTGGAGCACCCAGTCTCTGGACCAATGCAATGGCATCAGTCCATGTTGCAGCGATGGAGCCTTAATGCTACAATTTCAAACCATCATGATGGAATTGAGTTTCAAATGAACTGAAGCTTACGGCCTAGCAAGAAGAGTCTTTCAGCAGTGGCTCCACACCTGCTGTTTCACCGGCACTGCCAGCTTGCAGGATTGCCCGGGTTCAGTCAGGTAAACTAAACTTCGCATGTGCTGTCCTGCTACAGTGCTTTTCCAGGACGGGAAAATCCCAATGCTACGCGTGCCTGGAAAAGGTGCTGCTCAGGAAGCATGGTGCTTACAGCTTTGGCATTTGCGAACATGTGCAAGCGATTTGCTGCCAACAGCACTTGCTTGCCGTTGAATTGAGGCTTTGTCCAGGCAATATCAGGCAATAGGATAACCTGTCACGAGTACTACAAGTAAGAAAGGACGATATGTACTCGCTGCCAGCACTACCACCATACGGACCATAGGCACCACTTTGTGCGCAATGCTTACTGCCACTGGCACTACTGCTGCTATGACGATTGTCATTGCCACGATTGCTTCTACCAAAAACGCTACCGCTACCTCTATCTCTGCGACTACTGCTGATGCTACTACTCCTATTTCTAGGGGCCGCTATCGCTACCATACCAGCAGAATCAGCAGCACTGTGACCACTACCGTTGCTACAAGTACCACGTCCACTACTTCTCCTACTACTAGGAAGAACATATGCTACGGGCCAAAGGCTTCCGTGATGCAAGAATACTCACACTTCCATCTTTAAAGGGTTTGTAAAGCAGGTCATTGACAGGCATAGAAAAGCGCAGATGAAGCTATCTTGGTGCCATGATGCGAAACTGCATGGCATGGCTAGCCGCAGCAGTGCTTGCTGCATGCTCAGCCACTTCGTGCAGTATGTGTTGCACACAAGAGGTCTATCTTCTCAGGTCTCCAGATGTGTGCCTCTACATGTATCTTGGACAATTGCGGCCTGGAACCAGCACAGGAAGTCAAGCTACTTCCAAAAAGAAGCTGAGCTGCAGTCCGGACAAACCCCTGGAACCATGCCTGATGTGAAACACACAGCCCCACGTCCAGGACTGTGTATGGGTTTCCACGCTGCAAAGACTGGGATATGCCACAAACGACATAATGGATGCAGTGGCTGATCTGAAAGTGCGTTATTCGCCATCCGAGCTTCAGCGGTGGGTCTCTGGCTACGATGTTGTTGCCGTCCAAGAAGCCGATCCACTCTTTCGCGAGGCTCTGGGAGACATGTTATGAAACGGAGACACGTACCATTGACTGTGCACAGGCATCTTAACGTAAACGAAATAGGATGTTTACAGCTCACTTCGCTGTCAACAAGGTTGTGCAAGACAAGCTGTTTGATCTTGCCCCAGGCACTGGGAGAGATGGGTCAAGGCATGGTCTGTGGCAGCAATGATTTTGATGGTCGCGGAGTGGAAGTGGAATCTTGTTCTGCGCTTATCCTGCGAAATGCGCGGTGCTTGCACAAAGAGAGCGCGTTGCTAAGCTTCAGATCGTTCCGCGGCGCCACTGTGTCTCGGGAACATTTGGTCGCGCATTTGGAGCATTCGACTGGTGAGCAGCTGGTTGTCTGCTCCGTGCATCTGCACGTGCCTGCCATGATTCGGAAACGCCTCAACTATGCAGACTACCTGTTGCCGCTGCGTCATGCACTGGAGAACGTGGCGGGCCAGCAAACTCTAGAGATACCATGCTTACTGCTCGGCGATTTCAATCTAGATCCAGCTGATTTCCATCAGCTCTCGATCGACGACGCATTCTGGAAGCAGCTCCTTGGCATGCGGATAACCCTTTCTGTCGCCAACGTTCTCCCGTGCTGCTGTATGATCTTCAGCAGTGCTACCTTCCACCTGGTTCCGTGTGACAAGTCTTGTTGGATGTTTCGAAAGTAGCGATGTTAGCTCAGCATTGCAATGCGGCAAAGGTTCCGGCCCGTCGTTCCACAGGGTGGCACGACGGCCCACGCCTCCAATCCCAGCGCACGGGGCGACTTTGCTTTGGTCACTGCTGGCCAGTGGCGAGGCAATCCTGACACACAACTGAGCTGTTTCTAAGACGGCCGGAAAGACTGGTCCAGGCAAGGCTCTGGGAAGCCCAAGCTTCAAAAGCTTCGAGCGCTATGGGAGCCAGGTCTCGCAGGTGGGATGCCAGAGCAATTCTGTTCGCCTATGATGGGCTTTCATGTAGAGCTGTAGAGTGATCCAACTCCATGGTCGCAAGATGTCGCAATTGTCAGGCCTTGAGCAAGCGAATTCGCCTTAAAGAGGTGATCCGGCGCTGTGAAGAGGTTCCTCGGTCCCTCCACCCTGGCCTGGTCGTTTCATGCGACTGCTTCTGGGAAGGCCAGATGTGGTCTACAACGTGCAGAGAACTCGCTTTCCAACGCTGCGCGGGATGCCTTCCTGCTGCATGACACTGGGGAGCAGGCGCTGTAGCAGAATGCCTCTAACACATACTCGTAAGTTGTCCGGGATTAAGAGCAGGCACCGCTGGTACAGCTTCGCCAAGCGCGGCTCGAGCTGAACCGCGCAGAACTCCGCCTCCGCCGCTCGCTTCGGCACAGCGCCAGCCCGATGCGGCGGACGCTCTCGCGTCCTGGCTGGCACAGCACAAACTGTCCCATTCTGCAGCTATGAAGCGAAGGAACTCGGATCACCGTCCATTACACTTTGAAAGAGTGCTGGCCAAGGAGGCAGGGTGTTCACGCTCAAACTATCCTGAGTTCGTTTTCATGCACCCAGGCTTTGAAGCCGTGACATGTGATGGCCAAGTAGAGTAGATACCTGGAGGCAAGCGCTTGCCTTCTTAAGTTCATGCGCGACAGGCTTGAACTGGAGGTTGGTTTCATCATTGCAGCAGCAAAGGTCTGTGCAGCCTCCGTTCATCGATTCTTGCAAAACACCATTGAAACACCTGAGATGATCCGTGATGCTTCGCCATCTATTGCTGTGCAAGGTTGGCTGCCAGTTCCGTTTAGAAATCTGTGCCCGCCTGCTGGCTTCCAGCTGACATAGTCCATGAGAAGAACAGACTCGACTATACGAGACTTCAGAAGATGCAATGCCGTAGACATCCATCACGAGGTCAGCAACACATTCTTAGCACTGGCTGACAAATTTTATGAGCAATGCTGACAAATGCTGTTACAGTTACAGGTTCAATGAATGGCTGTTTGGTAGTGGCTGTTTTTTCCTGGTCTACGATCACCGTCAGCCATCGGCAGATGCTGCGTGGTCCTTCTGTCAAGTGCTCAGTGGTACTTGTTGCTGGCATGAAGTGCCATGTGGCCCTGATCGTGCCAAAATCAGCAACTCTCCGAACACCTTGCCAGGTGCATGGCATGATGGACAACTGATGATTGACTACAGCGAGTCATGGCTCATCTTCACTCTCCTCAAGTGGAAAGGCCTGCGGGATTTCATCTGCCAAGGCCTGTGTCAAAAGCCATCGGAGCCTGCCCCAGGATCAGTCTTCCCGCGATCCTGCCTCTTCGCAGTGCCCGCAGCCTTGATCGCAGTCTTCCTCGTGCAGGCAAGTCAGCACGTCGGCGTTGCCAGGGCCATGCACATTAAGGTTTACTCTTTTGCTAACAACCGCCCGCCCGCATCACCCTCCCAAGCTCCAAATGGATGTGAGCTGGAGTTTGCGCAAGCGGGTGTGCAGCTCCTGTCGTACTGCAAGCATGCAGCAAAGTGGTGCCTTGAGAAGGTGTTCCGCATGATTTAGGCCTTGGCCGACGGGATTGTCCAAGTACAGGGGAGAGTAAATCTGTTCTCGAAGTAGGCCTCTGCAAATTCGTGAGTTTGATCTTCATGCGGGGACGATCTTGAAGTTGCAGGCTCCGGACGTCTTGGATTTCGACATCCGGCAGGACAGGAATTCCTCTTCTCCTTTTTGAACCCCGTAATAATGCTTTATCCACTCTTGCAGTGTGTCGGCTAAGGTAGGCTTGCCCATACTTCCTGAGACTCTTGAGACTGCAAGCAATTTCACCTGGCTTCCCAGGAATTTGGCCTGGTGGATGCACACCGCAGTCAGTTGTGGATAATCTCCTTAGGCTTGGCCTCTCACTATTGCTATTGTGACGTACCATGTATCCGTTCCTATTCCAAGAAATCTTTGAGACATCCGGAGGTGTCCTCCATGCTCTGCTTGTTTTTCGCATCAATCGGGCCGCGCACCGAACAGGGTTTGGGTTTTGGAGTTTGGGATTTAGCGTTTTTCAAGAGCTTTGGGGCTGACAGCTTTCAAAGCGCAACATCTCAACATGCTTTGGTTAGGGTGCTGGGGATGGATGCTTAATCCAAATTGCCAGAACGTTGAGCTCTGAACTCCTTGTCTCCTGGCTTATGTGCTGATAAGATCGCTGTTCCTTGGACACTTGCCAGGTTGCTTGGGAACTGTGAGTCTATGTGCTGTTGAGGTCCCTAGGATATGTACCGCCACTGAAGTTGTGGAGTCATGGGACATGCAAAGTAGATGTTCGGCCACACCCACATTGTCCTAAACCAAACCCCAGAACCGAACTCGTCCGCCTTGCTGAAATCTGTAGGAAAGGAGAGAGACCCTGAACCCTAAATCCTGCAAACCTTAAACACTTAAACCCTAAACGCCTTGATACGGAAGCCCGAATGCTGAAAGACAGGCCATGGAGCGATTCTGGGAGGGAACCGGCCTGCTCCATCAGGCTGATCCGCAAGCGGAACCGGGGTGAAGGGAACTCTGAGGTCTCTGAGGTGGATGTTTAGGATTCCTTTCTTGTTTCGTCCGGGTTTTGTGAAGTTGTCAGATTTGATCTTCCATAGATGGGCCGACACCAGCGCAACGTATATGGCCACCAACCCAGACGAGACCCAAACTCATATGATGTTATTCAGCTTTGCAGTGAGCATCAGGTGCAAGGTTGGTTCCATTTTGTTTCATTCATGCCGCTGTGCAGTACAGAGCCTTGGTTGCTGCTCAGATGCGGGGAGAGTGGTTCGATGCGGTGAGCTGCTGCGTGACGTTCTCACGCGCATCTATGCTAACCAGGTCCAGCACTTGCTATGCGGCCACTCGTCTGTGCATCGACGCATGTGCGGACATCTTGAGGCCTCAAGAGACGATGAGATTCCGGCACGCAATCGTGCGCCTGCACCCTAGTCCTTTGCAGCGTCTTGCAGAAATTCGTGGGGCTTCGGCTGCATGGCTCAGGTCTTATGAGCCTTTGCCATGGAAGCGCTTTGGAGGAGATCGGAGGCACAGTGATCTGTCCATTTGCCAGTCGAAAAGAAGCTGGCCATGCAGGATGGCCAAGGCTAGAGATGCGGGATGCGGGTGGGTAAAAGCTATGCGCAGGCGAAGATGGCGACTTTTGCGAAACGATCGATGCCTGGCAAAAAAGCTCACAGACTTTCTTCAAATGCTGGCTATGTCAGGGGTCACACAAACCTCGCCACTCCCAAAGAATTTCCTTCTGCTGCCAGTCAAGCAGACCAAGGATTCGCATGGTTTGGCCACTCGCACCCTGCAGCACTTAACGGACTGTGCTGAGGCAAGCTTGTTGAGTTTTGGAGGTTTGCTCTGAAAGTTGGGGGTCAGATTGCATGTGAATGTGAACAGATGCGTTAGGGGGTGTCTGCCTAAGCATCAGCTCTTTGCTGCTGGTGATGGGAGGCAAACGGTTTGCCATTGGCCTTGCAACTTTGGAAGTGTGTGAACCGAAAACCGGTAACACATGGTAACGCTGTTGCTGCAGGAGTATGACTTCAATCGCGTGGAGGTGCTGCTGCACATGATCCAGCTGCTTGGCTGCAGAAACATGTTTGGGAGACTCCGACACTTCTTGTCTTGCTTTTGCCAGGTCACTCATCACTCACAACCTGGATGTGGGGGTGCTGACGCTTGCTTGCAGAACCAGGCCTTTGTATTCGCATGCTGATCTGTTTGCCACTGCATGTCGCAGAGTTCCGTGGGTTGCAAGCAGCATGGGTATGCAACTGAACCAAGGAAAGTGCAGCCCCCCATCCTATCTCGCGTTTACCAGACTCTTTCGAGAGGATTCGTTAATCTTTTAAATGCCAAGAAAATTGCGGACACCAGGCGGGCTGACAGTCAATTTGTGTTGCTTGTCAAGGAAAGGAGATGTAGCTTGAGAGCCGCGCAGCCGTGTGCAGGTTTCCATTTCCCTTTGCGCAGCTGATTTCAGCGCTCTTGTGGCTCAGTGAGCAATATGATTCAAAGAGCTTGCGAAGCATTGGTGAGAGCTGCGGGATCTCGCAGACTTAGGTTTTTGCATATTGTCAGGACCCCAGGGCCAGCAGGAGTCACAATCATCCTGAGACGGAATCAAAGGCAGCTTGCTGCGAAGGTATTGCTGCCAGTTCTGATATCTGCGGTGATCTCGCAAGCCTCCTTCTCAGCCGTGGTCAGTTGCAGAAGCAGAGCCAGTGGCTTTGGCAGATCTCTGCTCAGGCTTGGTTAGCCTTCACCTTCACCTTTCTTCCAATCTTCTCGATGTGCCATGCCCGGTCTGCAAAGCGGCATGCTGTTGGCAAAGCTGGTATGAGCTGAGATGCCATATGATATGGCAGAATGAACATCTCAGGGTTGGGTTGTCCTCGCGGTTGCTTGGTTTTTGTGCTCGTTAGCACGGCGAGCCAGGAAGAAGCACGGAGCTTTAGCTATCTGTGGGGGATACATGAACATGCAAAGCACTAAGGGTTTACACGCACGTGTCGGTGCTAGGCGGCGAGCTGATTGCAGGGTCGCACAGAACCTTGCCAGGTGCTGTCTCAACTACATCGGAGTTGAGCTTGAGAATCCATTTGGTCGAGATGCTAATGACTTGCCCTTGAAGCACTTCCAGGCACAGGGAGCGTACAGTTCCAAGGTAAGGATACCAGTGCCAGGGAAGGATTGTCAGGAGCTAATTGTTGCCCTGCCGTTTTTGGGCTTCAAGGATCCAGCCAACGGCTTAAAGACCACCTGCCGCGATCAACAACTCCAACTTCTAAGATACCATATGCTCATGAGGGCAGTCAGCAAGCAGCCAACTTCGCAGGCAAGACCAGCAGACACAGAAACGACTCATTGCAAACCAGCGCTTTTTCTTCTCGAGCGCCTGCACCTTGCGCTTCTGCTTGGCCATGCCGGAGTGTCCAGTCTGCCTGGGTATTGTGAGTGCTACTTGAAAGCAAACATTGATACGTTTGTGTTTCTTCTGGTTCTGTGCAAGCTTCCACACTCGACAAAGTCGCTGCGAGGAGCACGTGCATGGGTCAGTAGACATGCTGTTGAAGTGATGCTTACAGACAGAAAAGCTGTTGCATTTTTGGGCAAGCCGAAGGCATTTGAAGCTTGTGCAGCTCAGGATCCCTTGTGGGCCCCTTGCAACCACAAGTTCTGTCGCTACTCAGACCAAATCCTGGAATTTTGTCTTCCTGAAATGACTTTGTGATTGTAAGACGTAAGTCTGACATGGCTTATCGGGGACTTGGCTGCCACGAAGGCCGCTGCATCATCCAGGTGCTGAAGAGCCGGCCCCCCGAGTGGGCCGGGGACTGCCCTCTCTGCCGCATCCACATTAGTGCCTTTGCCCTGATCTGTACGGGTTTTGGATCGATCCGTTTGTGTGCTCTGGTCTCTGAGGTGTGTACAACTTGCGCGATGGTAGCAACCAGCCACTGGTGCGAGCTGACGTTCGACAGCTCTGGGGATGTGTATTCATCCAGCACGGCCAGATAGGCACGCTGCTTCGGGCTTAGAAAGCTTTCCCAGGTTTATGCCTTCATGCTCCAAAAAGGTCATGAATCATGCCATAAAATTTCTACGATCTTGAACCTTTGGGGACATGAAGTGGCACCAACAGACCTGAACGGGGTCGCTTCTTGAGTTGGGAGGGAAAGCACACTCCTTTGTGACATGAAGGCCTGGCATCCTATCATTTCGAGTCGTTGGAGGAAAGCTACATATCCTACGAACATGCCCCGTCTCATTGGCGAGGCTTGGCTTAAGAGTGTAACAACGAACAACGCGACTGGAAAAATGTCGTGCTTCCAAGGATTGGACAATGGTAGCCAGCCGCCAAGCAAGAAGTACTGGACAGACACAAGTTTTGATGAACAGACTTTGACCTTTCGTGGAGTCGTCGACTGGGATCCAACATTCAACGGAGATGCGAAGTGGGTTTACCGTATTCAATTTTCTGAAGATTTTGCTGGAATCATTGGCGGCGAGATTGAGGCGACTGCAGGAGACGGCTCCCTGAAAAAAACGCCATTTCTAGCCCCTTGGATAGCTGAGTGGGATAGGCACCTCTCCTACTTGCGATGGACGCCGCCGCCCACGACAATTTTTAGCAGCGTCTATGTTCAGGGTTTTGTGTACGCAGGTGTCCATGAGGGGGTTGCCAGCTATCATTTTAACAGCGTGGATGACTGCTATATTTCGTATGCAAACGCCCCAGAGTCATGGATTCTGGATGACGGGTCACCACCTCCGGTCCGGAAGCCCTTCGAGCAAGTTTCTTATGTCGAAGAGACGCGGACTTTCCAAGGAGTTGTCACTTGGCCCCAAGGATTTGACGGTGCCATACGATGGGAATACACCATGGTTTTTTCTTCCGACTTTAGTTTCATTGCCTCTGGCAAAGTGCAGCCTTACAGAGCATTCGGCATTCCCATGCGTGCGCAGCATTTTGGGGACCCAATGTCGGGTTTGCTCATATCTTCTGTCTTATTCTATACGCGCAAGCCATCTGTGCTTTCTGCAAGCGAGAAGCTACGGCATACAATTCTGGCATTGGATGAAGATGGGACCGAAGGCCAGGAGTCCGAGCGGCAGCAAGAACTTGCGAACGTGAACCGGGCTCCGGGGAGTCAACCAAGGTGTGCTGTGCAGTAGCTGCAGTAGCTATGTCTGGCTTGTGTTTCTGCATTTGAACATGCTAACGAAAGTTGCTAGCTTTGCCTGGGGCGCGGCACTTCGACAAACACCGTAGTAGGCAGACCTTTGAGAACCCCAGCCAGAGCTCCGTAGATGTGTTAATCTGAAGCAGTGCTGGCTGCAAAGAATCTCAGAATTCAGACTCGGCCAAAGGGGGCCTGCAGCAAGGGCACTTCCAACCGCTCCTTGCAATCTTCCGTTTTTCGGCTTGTGCCAGCAGACGGCGCAGGGCCCAAGACTGCAAGCAAAAGTGACGCCTTGTTGCTAGGGAAGCCAACTTTCCCACGGATTTGCTAGAGTTTCCCTATTTATCTTCTACAGATAGCCTTGTCTTGTGAGCACCTATGAGCAGCGACCGGAAGTTGTCTCGTCAGAACCTCCTGCACTTCCATTCCCTGAAGAGATGGAAGGCTGAGATGAACAACTGCCTGCTCATGCTGTTACACGGCAGCGCGGATCTGATGGCGGGCATCAGCAAACAGGCCAAGAAGCATGAGTCGGGATGACGCAGTTCGTTGTCAGCTTTCAGCCGTACTCTTAACAGTAGTGGTATGCTAGCGTATGAGCCCAAGGGCTGAAATAAAGCTGCTTGCAACTTCCAATCCTTACTTCCCTGCAGCGCTGTCTCATGGACATCATGGAGATCAGACAAGCTATGGATATCACTCTGGCTGAAAGCAGCTTGGTGTGCAATGGCTTTTGATGAACAGAGGCAGTGTTTTGGGCGAATATTCTTGGCTGGTAAGGTTGGCTTCAGGAGACAATCGACAAGGCAGGTGCAACGAACATAGCGCAGGTTATGAACTTCATCGTGTTGGACTTGTGACTGAGCTTTCCAGATTGGTGGCAGGCGCCGAGCAGCCCTGGCGAAGTGGCCAACGTCAAAGACGTTGAGGCTCTTGATGCACCGAGTTGGGAGTGCCGAGGGCTGCTTTAGTGTCTCTTTTCGCTAGATAGGCGTCGGTATGACACACTAACTTTGCAGGAAGAAGATTCGTTGCCCGGCTCGACGGCGCAAGAAGCTGCTGGCATGGAGGCCGGTTGGTTCAACTCAGTTTTGGTTGCCTTTGGCGATCAGCTGAATGCTGTCAACAAGAGCTGAAACATTCGCCGCAGGTTGTCCTGCCGCAGGCGTCAGTCCAAGGCCACGCTCAATCCTTTTGCAAACATATTTGCTGGACTTACCGCACGGTTTTGCTTGTTTTGCTATAACCTTGCATTACCTTGCATTACAAAGTGTGGAACCAGCACATGAGCCCCGTGTCTCAGGCGAGGCCTCGTCAGACTGCGGGGCTGCTCCAAATTCTGAGGAGCCCGCCTTTGAGGAAAAGCTGCAGCCCACCACTCTGCTACAAGGCCAGGTGACATGATGAACTCACAGTGAACGTCCGTGAAAACGCTGGTTTTTACGCAAACCAACACTGCTTACATAAACAAAAATGCTGTCCTGCATTGACAAAATCCTACACTACATGAGTCGCGTTTTAAGTAGGGGTCACCAATACAACATGTTCCCTTTGCCTCTAGTAATTCGTTAGAAAAGTCAGTTTTACTTGATCTGAAACATCCCTCTCATAGTGTTTGCTCCACAGCTGAAGGCATGGATCAGGCTGTGATGGCATTGACGGGCATCAGACAGGCTGGCTGTTTGACTTTCTCTGTCTGGTTCGGGCCAGTTGACCCTCCTCTATGACTCTGATGCTAGATGTGAGTGTTTGTTATGTTCTTTGAAAGCACTATCTGTTTCTTGGTGCCTGGAAGGCCATTGCGATGCAAGCGACTGATGTAGATCGAAGCATCGACGGATTCCTGGCCCTTGCCAAGAAGCTCAGGACAAGCATATTGCCAGACATATCCTAACTCTTACATGGGATCCTTGTGGGTTGAGGAGCGTGCTTCAAACACAGCAATGTTTTTGGGTAGGGACAACCAGGACAAGTCGTTTCTGTACCTTTTCTGATGCTGGCTTTAGGGCTTCTGTGGGACGCAAGCTTTCGTAATCTGCACAGCCGAATGTCATCATGGAAGACACAGGCATGCTGATGACAGGAAGGCGCATCAAGTTGACGACCTTGTTGCAGATGAAGCTGAGCCAGCAGACGTGGAGTTCAGTTTCGGATGGGATTGTGCCACACTCAGCAGAGCCTTTCAAGGGACAGAGCTGTGGAAAGGCCATGGCGCGGCTAAGACAATCTGGTAGTGCCACCAGGTTGTTCCCGGAAATTCGGAGTTCCTTTTTCCCGTTGCCTAGAAATCATCGCTAGCGCGAGTGCCACCCTGACGTCGAGGTGCAGCGGGGCGGGAAGCTGGGAGGACGCGGGGGAGGGTTGGAAGCGAGAATGCTAAATGGTGGGACCAATCTGTGAGCCGACCAGCAAGCAACCCCGACCCCCAGGCCAAACCTCCTTCACAACCAGAAGCCTTGAAAACAACGACCGACAAGCTCAAGCCTTTTCAACGGTGCGTCCTGGGACCGGGGTGCGCAACTTGCCTCTAGTGCGAGGTCCTTAGATCTAAAAGCCCCAGGCCTCCGGCTTGGACGGATAGGGATTACCGCAGAACGGGATTCGTATTTGGGATGTTTGGGTCCTGTTGCATATGGACGCACCCAAAATAATCAATATTGGGGTTACATAGGGACTATATTCCCCGTAAACTCTAAACCCAGAATCCCTATACTTTTCCTCATTTTTCCGAGGCTCTGCAATTCCTTCCTTCGAAGCCTCCGGCTGAGGTTGGGAGCTTTTTTGCCTTTCGGGTTCCCTTTTCTTGCCAAGGCTGCAACGTTTAAACGCCAAGGCAATAAGAAGGGGAAAAATTGTAGAATCAAATGGAGAAAATTGAAAATGAAATGGAAACTAGGGAATACATGGGGGCTATCATAGGGGTAATATTGGGGATATATTGGGATAATGGAAAGCAAATGGAAACTAGTATAATGGGTTATATGGTTATGTTAGGAGTATATTGGGGTTATATGGAGGATCGTCCTGCTAATACGTAGATGGAAGCAAGGAATCTGTTACACCTCTGCAAGACATAGTGTTGTCATCAACGCTGCTTGAACATTTCGCAGGCGGAAATTATGTGGTTCATCCAGGGACCAGACATCAAACAGCGTCCTTCCCACCTTCCCAAGATGTGCACAGGTCATGCCTCGTGACGTGTCTCCAGGGGCTGTGGCATGAAGCCAATCGAGGGCAAGGGTTTCGGGAGGGTCTCGGGGAGGACCCTCTAGACTTATCTTCCAGGGCAAGAGCCATCAAGGTCATGGGGAGGGTTGACCATAGTTAGTGCAGGCAGGAACCAAAGGAATTTTCAGTTTCATGCGGTCGTTGTGAATGATTAATCGCAAGCATCATATTTTTCAGTCGCGACAATGCGACAAAAACCTTACATTGGGGTGGATCAGATCAACCACCAGCCCAGCCTACATGCATCTTCCGGTATGCCAGCAGTATTGGTTCTCTACATTCGAAGTACGTAAGAGCCTGTCATGAGTGATGTTACAGATCACGGACGTTCTGGCAGAGTTGAGAGCATGTCGCAATTTCGGCCTCATTTGGATCAATCAAGGAGGTTGCTCAGTGCGACCACTGCCCCTGTTCAGTTGAATGCTTGCTTCACGAAACCAGGCAGACTGCATCATTCTACAAGTGAGTATGTGAAGTGCTCCCAAAGAAATTAACTGCATACAGGGATGGGCGGCTTAGGCAATTGCACGTGAGCTCAAACATCTCCATGGCCCACTTGCCGACTGTACAACATACTCTGCAGCAGCTCTGCTGTTCCTCCAACCTTGGACTTGTAATTTCGAGAGCGGATCTCGTGGAAGTGGTTTTCAACTATTTGTCTGCGGTTCATGATCAGAGCGCTGCTGACATTGGAGCCCCTCGACGGGTCGTGGTGAGGAAGCGCGTTTGGCGTTGGCTGGAGAACTCTTCGAATGCTGATATGTGTAAGGGCCATCTTAGAGATCCTACTTCGAATCAACCTGTTCATTACTATGGAATCCTCACAGTGGCCCTGTTGTTGCGAACGTTCAAGGCCAGCGTTCCTGAAGCAACCATCATGCAGCTGGAAACATTGCTTGGGCAATCTGTATTGCGAAAAATCACGCTTTCAAGGGGCACTGCTGCAAGCGCCGCGTTGCTGGAGCCAGCAACTGCTCAAGATGATCCTCTGTATGAGGATGCTCGTGCTTCTGAAGCGAACGCATTAGATAATCTGGAGTTGGCAGATGATCATGCGCTGGTTGTATCAAGGGAGCCGTCGGCATCATCAGGATTGCAGAGACCTGAGCAAGAGGTTGAAGTTCAGCCCGGGCAAGCGCAGCAAAGTCGAAAACGTCGCGCAGGCAGTGCTTTTGCAGACGAGTTCGCTGAATTTGCCGAGAATTTCAGGAATCACAGCCATGAGGAACTGGTTCGGGAGTTGCTGCTGAAAACAAAGCAGGTTGATGGGCACAAGAAAGACAAGCTTGCTGCACAGGCACGAGCTCAGGCATTGCAACGCAGGCTCCGGTCAACTCAGCAACAGCTTAGGCGCTTTGTGCAGGCGAAGGCCAAGGCCAAGGCAAAGGCAAAGACCAGGGCATCAGCTCCCGGCACAAGTGCACAGACGACGCTGCCAGATTTCATGCGTGTCAAACACAAACTTGAGATAGAGCGTACTCAGGCTGGGAGGTATCTCACAGTTCCGAGCATGGTTTCCCTGGGTTTGCGACGCAACATGTCGAACATTGCTGGCGCTGATCTGGGCTTGGTGCTCATGGACGATGCAAGCAGATGGAGCGTCGCACAAGCTGAGGTGAGATCAGGAGCTAGTGCCATAGCATCGTTCCGCAGCTTTCATGAAGATATGATGGCAGAAATGTTCCACGAGGAAGGGCTCAACCAGGGAGACTTTAACTTGTCGCTCCATGTTGTCAGCCAGGATGCTACTAGCGGATCGATATGGCAGAAGCGGAAGCTTTGCGCTTTGCTGCTGCACTCCGCCTACCTCACAAATTTGAGCGATGAAGCTCGCAGCTTTCGCTGGAATTGGAATGACATGTTTGAGGAGCTTTGGGCAATAGCAGATTTGCAGGCAGTCGACGATGCAACAGGCAGGGGGTCAGTGGCATTGACTTCGAAGATGCTGGCAAGCATTGGTTGCCCGACGGTTCACGACTTGGTCTTGAAGCACGAGTCTTTGCGGCCAACGGCTGTGGGGAGACTCGATCAGGATTTAGATGGGCAACTTCTTTAATTCTTTGATTATGCTAAATATGACTGTTCCAGTTCAAGACGCAACAGCAGCAGTCACAAACAAGAAGTAATCTTCGACTTTCACTTCCTGCCATGAGAGGTCCTATTAATAGATTTCGGAGGTGTCGTTGGGTCAAGGGGCCGTTGTGCCAGCTGTGTCCAATGATCTAATCTAATGATCAAATGTCAAATGTCCAATATGTTTGACAGGTTGACAAGTGATTTTCAGGTGCCATGAGTCCTGAGTGTCAGTGCAGAATGCATCAGCAGCGCAGTTGTGTTTCATGTTGTTGTTTGTTTGCGTTTAATTCACTTAGTAGGAATAGCAGCAGTAGTAGCCTCACTCATCTTTGCTATTTATTTTCAATTTGCTACTGTGATTGTTGTGGTGGTGATTGTCGTGAAGCTGCTTGCAGTTCCTGACTAGGAATCGACGAGGTTTTGTCAGATGGCCGTGTTTTTCCACCTGCGATAGCCGATAGCAATTCTGGACGCGGACGCGCTTTCGTAGGCCTATGATTCATTCCTCGAATCCTCGAACCTTTTGATTCTGTTTTTGTAAAATTCTTGTAGCTTGTAACAGGTGTAATGTAATAATGTACTGTAACTGTCTGTAACTAATGTAATGTATATCGGGATGTATGTATGTACGTATGTATGTATGTATGTATGTGTCATGTGTACGGATGGATGGATGGATGAATGGATGGATGGATGGATGGATGGATGGATGGTGTTGTCACCGTGATCGAGTGGTGCCCGTGGCCGCGGCCCTTGTCAGTGTGTCTGGCCACTTGTTCACTTTAAGTTTCAGTGCTGCACTTGCAGCAGGTAGCAGCAGGTAGCAGCAGGTAGAAAACCTTTGGCGTGGTCGTGGTCATTGATTCTTGTGAATTCTTGTGATTTATCGCAGGCTCCGATTTCTGTCGAGACCGTTCTTCTGGCTGTGTGCTGGTAGTTGAGCTTAGGCAGCTTAGTTACGTAGTTGTTTTTGCATTGTTGCAAGTAATTGCAAGTATTGTGATTTGTCATTTCCGTTGCAGCTGTTGCGGCCAATATGTTGTTGCTGTTGCTGCTGCTGTTCCTATAATTAAGAATTCAAGAATTATGTGTATTTGTTGATGCTTGTTACTTGTTTGCTACTAACATCGTGGTCGCGCCTGTCTTCACGCCGAGCGACACAGTCGGCAGAGTCTGAGTGTTGCGTTGTTGTATAAAATTGTTGTCCTGGAGTCCTGCAGTTTCCGTAATCGCGGTCGTAGTTTTAGTTTGTCTGTACTGTACTCCGACTCCCTCTACTTTGTAAGTGTTGGTGCTGCTGCTGTTGTTGTCTTCACTTGAATTTCACTTTGGCATTCGCAACTGTTGTATTTCTAACAGTAAGTTGCTGAACATGCAAGCTGGTGCAATCTCACTGCGAATTGCAAGTTCAGTTCACTGCAAGCAAGCTCCTTGCGTTAGCGTGTCAGCAATGGCTGTTGGCTGGAGTTGGAGTTGGTCATAGTCATAGTCCTAAATTGGTCCTACAGCAAAAGTTGCGGCTGCTGCAATGATAGCAAGTGTAAGTGTGTATCTGGGGCGAGTTCATGACGGTTTGCAACAATTGTCCTTAAACCTAGGACTTAGGACCTTGGAGCTTAAACGCTTAATTTCCTGAGCTCAACTCAGACAACTCAGGAAGAATGATGGCATGCAGGATGGCAACGGCTTCAGCCATTTGCATTTCTTCGTCTTTTTGTCGGATCGCGGCCCAAATGAGGTGCTTGCAAGGAAGATATGGCAAGTGGTTGCCAGAAATGCTCCTGGAGTCATCGTGTTTGCCTTGGATTGTCTCGAGCACGCATCGCATTTGATCACCCTGGGAAGTCTCAAGTTAGTGGATAAGCTTCTGAAGCCCTTCCGTTCCTGGAAGTATTTTTCGTCCATTGCAAGCACGTCGATCACATTGCGTGACCTTAGCAAGGATGTATTCAGTGCTTGGTGTGAGGCACATGGGCCAGAGTCAGGGGTCAAACTGGCCAAGACGCTTTGGCCCAAATGCGTGGCTGGGCGCTGGAATTCTTGCAACGACATGGAGACTCGCATGCGTGCGTGTGGGGGGCAGCGTATGCTCTTGCCTGTGCTAAAGCAGATTCTGGCCTCGAAGCCAGCTGAAAAGGAAGCCAAAGGCAACCTCGCTGCCGGGAGTGTGGATGAAATCCAAGTTGAAGAGTCCGCCCACTACAGTGCTCAGATGGGCCGTTGGCGCGCTCGAACTTTGGCGTGTGTCGCTGATGCTTTGTGGTGGGTTGTTGCGGAGGTCATGCGAGTTGCACGCGGGCCCGCGCTTGCCCTCTCAGACCCCTCGGCAGCATTGAGCGTCATCTTGAAGTAGTGTGCTTCTGTGTGCGAGTTTGTGCATATTGTAATATTCCAAGTATCGGCTAGCCAGCAATTACTGTCCAGAGGACCAGTGGATAGCATTGGGTGGCAAGACGGCTGCGG